TGTTTTCTTCCCATACCATCATACCAAAATAATATCCCGATTCATTATTGGATCACCCTGTATTATGTGTTGTATATTCCCATTATTCTAGCATACCAAAGTCATTGTGAAAATTCCCATTACCTCAGATGAAAATTAAAACGTTTTTTGGTGTACACAAATTAGTCTTCCATTCATTATCATTAACATTGAAATAATTCCCGATATAAAAATAATATTTCTATTCATAATGTAATCAACGTATTTTCAAGTTCAACGATAATTGTATACCCATTAATTTATAATTAACTTCAATGTGTTGTGTATTTTCCATACCATATCAATTGAGCTACCCGCATAATGTATCAAGCGGTATCTATTTACATATTTAACCTATTTTATCGTTATGTCCGAAGACTTTCGCGGCGACAATAACGAACGGTTTGAAATCGCGATCGCGTTCATTATAGACCTAATTCAGGGTTGGGGACAGTATAGTTTTCGTTGGCACCCCGGGATGCATACCAAATCCAATGTCACTGTATTTCAACAAGTGGACCATTCAGATTGGTTTCTCGACTCCCGGTACTGAAAACTGGTTAGACGTAATGTATCATGTACCAGTTTGCGTCAGTAAAAACGCGCGACCTGCGAAATATAATTGGACAAATCTTTTGTCAGTGCATAGAAAATGTTCCGAAATATACAGGATGTGTCTGAATGAATGTGCAACGAGATTGCAGTGCATAGAAATTGTTCAGAAATAAACAGGATCTGTCAGGATGATCAAACTCTAGGTGAGTATTCTACAAAAAAAAATTATTCAAAAACATTATTGTTAACATTTAATTTGTGGTATATTTGTTGAACCTATCAGAGTTTGTCCAATGATCCCAGTGTATCATTCTCTTTGTTGGAAACAAATGAAAATTGGAACATTTATAGTTTCTAAAATAATTTCCATGAGTCGAATACACTCCTATAGAATTTGGTATATTCTTCCTGAATCACCCTGTATGTCAGAATTTGAAATAAGCACAAAGACTATATTTTGGAAAGAACTCACCGATACTTTCAAGCTATTTCATGCCACAGTTCCTTTTAAATGATGTCAAAAATTACCAGTGGGGTAGTAACAAACCCATTCGAGTGTATTGTTGTGGGTATATAATATTGTATGAAAGAAATCATCATATAACTAGATATTTTTATTCAAACCTGAAACAAACGAAATAAATCAGAGGAATGCAAATCGATTAAGGCATGAGAAATTACCTTATAACACACAAAAAAAATTATTCGTCTTCCGTAAACTGAAACAAAATTTGAATTAAAAATGAAAACAATCGAGAACAAATTATGTTGTTTACCGATATTGCCCATACTAGTAGGGCATCCTGCTCCTCCATGTAAAATATTGTATAGGGCCCCACATTGCCAACGTTAATTAATCCTGGCGGGGCACTTGATCCCCCCAAGATCCTCCCTTGTAGCAAGAGGATCGGTTTGTTCTAAAAAAGACACAGAATTCACTTGATAATGCTGAATTGTTTGGTACCGAAATAATTTGATGAATTCTGATGAAATTCATTTTGTATTTCACGAAAACAATTATCATTGTAGGGAATGCGGACAAAATATCAATCAAAAAACTATTAAGCAAATAGAATAATTTTTTACATGGGTCCGTACTATGAGGTTGAATATTATTTTGATTATTTATTGATAATTATTGATCCTCACAAAAATTTACAATTTCTCCCGTAATATCCTCATGCTTTGTCTCCAAAACACGGATATCAAAAAAGATTCCTGGTTCCTGAGAGAAATCAATATGAAATGGAAATAAATGAATAAAATATACTCACTCTTAAATGACCAGGTAGCATATTCTTAATTGCTTCTATTGGTATCTCTTCTGGGAAAATTTGAACATTGTTTATTTTTTTATTAGGTACAGGAATATTTTCAACTTACCCATGTTATAGCTGCACTAAAAATAATAATAATAATAATTTTACTAGATAATATTCAAAATGAAATGTATAATATAACATGGAAATTCGTTTATATATGGACCCTATTTTGATTATCTTTTCGTACACATTTTTTTAAGGATAATAACTAATCAGCAATACTTACTGACCCAAATCATTATATCGCTAATTTGTTTTTCCAGAAATTTCTTATCAGTCTTATTAGGTCTATTTCTCTGTTTGTGCAATAAGTGCACATTTTTATAGATTGCAGTAATATCGGAGTTAATGGCGCATAATGCTAATTTGCGCGACCAGAATCGCCGTGTACAGGGCGATCCGGAATCACAGGGTGATCCTTCGACACCGTTAAGACCTTCTCGCAATTCATTGAAAAACAGACAATATTCACATTACGAAATCACATAGAACTTCATCTATTGAAAAAGTAGAATTCCAACTCACATAGGGTTTTACCTATTGGGAACTCTAGATCATGAGTTGAAGTAACGCCCTATGTGATCTGTCCCTCTCTTCAGGTTACCAACTCACATACGGGTGTTTACATGTTAGCGTTTTGGGAAAAAGTAGAATTCCAACTCACATAGGGTTTTCAGTACTTCGATTTCTAAATCAAGTACAAGTACTGAAAGGCCTATGTGATTTAGTTCTCTCTTTAGGTTACGAACTCACATAGGGGTTTACATGTTAGCATTTTGTGAAAAAGTAGAATTCCAACTCACATAGGGTTTTCAGTACTTCGATTTCTAAATCAAGTACAAGTACTGAAAGGCCTATGTGATTTAGTTCTCTCTTTAGGTTACGAACTCACATAGGGGTTTACATGTTAGCATTTTGTGAAAAAGTAGAATTCCAACTCACATAGGGTTTTACCTATTGGGAAGCCTAGATCATGATCTAGAAGTCCCAATAGGTAAAGCCCTATGTGAGCTGTGGCTCTCTTTGTCTTACTACTCATATATTCTACGCAGACATTACTAAATAGGTGAAAGAGAACATCATGTTCTGGGATGATCAATTTGCAGGCCGTCTGAGGGGTAGTTATCGCCCTTCTATGTATAATTAATAAATCATAAACATCCCTTAGGCTGCCTGTGATTTAATCATCTCAGAACATGATGTTTTTCACCTATTTATTAATGTCTGTGTAAAATATTTTCTGAGGGGTGTTTATAATTTTTTCAATACTTAGAAGCAAGCCTGCAAATTGATCATCTCAGAACATGATGTTCTTTACCCGTTGATTAATGTCTGTGTATAATATGATCTTGGCTAATCTTTTCTGAGGGGCGTTTATGATTTTTTCAATACTTAGAAGGGTTGTACCTACCCCTTAGACGGCCTGCAAATTGATCAATTCAGAACATCATGTTCTTTACCTGTTTATAGTAATGCCTGTGCAGAATATCAACCTGGCTAAACTTATCTGGGAAGTGTTCTTGATTATCTTAATTATTTAAAAATAAATCTGACGCTACTGGTGATTTGGCTGCTAGGTGAAAATTGACTGCTGCAAAATGGCTGCTAACTTCTCATCAGTTCTTTTATTAGTATGTTATGTAACACGTGTTATAAACGTCATATTAGTAACGAGTATATTTTAAGCACGAGCGCATCGTAGCAGAGCGAGTGTGTTTGAAAACCAACTGTCTAGAGAAGTTTATACACGCGTAACATACTATACTTTTTCTACGAAATCGAAAAAATAATATTCGTTACACAGTTGTGTTAATATTCGATGAACCCTTGAAATGAGCAATGACATAATATTGTCATCGAACAACTGAAATTAATGAATGAATAAAAATAGGTATTTCATCCTGTTGAAAATGAAAATTTTTAAAATTAAAGGACAAAATGATACTTTTTTTATCCAATTAACAAAAATTATTCGCTAAAAAATCGATCTATATCGAGAACGGCGATATTTAGAGAAATTGAAATAAATTTGAATCTGAAACCGTCAACGTTAACGTAAACAATGTGGTTCCGCAATCTTCAATTTCGTCAAGTTTTTTCGTCTATCATTGCCAGAGTGCTCAATATTTCGAACTAATTTTGTAGCAACGAATGAAACACATCTTGGACTTTATTACTCCTGTGAATTTATTTCGTTTCAGTATATGTCCAAATGAAAATCACCATAAATATTTCATGGGACTCTATAAAATCAGTTTTTCATGGAAAAAGTTGAATTAATTGGCAACCGTGGAGTCAAATACAGAAAACAAAAAACAGTTACCTATGTAGGTAGCAATTTTGATGGTGCATTCTAAAATCCAATTGAAAATAGAGTGTCCCATTTAAAAAACTCATCATCAGCAGATATCTTGGAATTCGAATACTCTAGATATGAGAATAATTTTTAGGCGATAGTTCTCATGAAAACATGAATATAACTGTTAGTTGTATTTCAATTTTGTCTATACAGGGTGTTTCGGCATTCGAGCGACAACGTTCGAGAGGTGATAGCCCTCGTGATTTCATAATTACTAAGATTGAAACATACGGTCTCCGCAAGTGTTCAATTCTCGAGATACAGGGTGTTGGAGTTGAGAAATAAAAATAGTTTTTTCACAATAACTCAAGAATATGATTGAATATTCCGTATTCCAATTCGGTATATGGTTTCATCTTTGAATTTATCATTCTTTGGCTAGAAAGTCAATCCGGACGTTTCATCCAGTGGTGCGCTACAGGGGGTCGTGGTAACTTTAAATCCCATATTTTCTGCTCCATTGATGGAGGAAACTTCCCCATTGTGTATTCCATCTTCCTCTATAGGTACTATGAAGAAGGTCGCCATTTTTAGTGATAGATAATCATGAAATCAGAACTCAGTCTTATTTATATAGCCGAAGATAAATCGATTTCATTCATTTCAGATTTCAATGGACACGATCAAACTCATGGAGCCTGAAGCACTGGAAAAATGTATTCCGAAAATAGGTGATGGCCTAGCAATCTTGGATTACTGTTCAAGAGAACTGGGTTCCAGAAATAAAAGAAAAGGAAGTCTCCTAGTTCAATTTCACGTTGTGTGATTTTCAATTTGAAGAAATTGCATCTGACAGTACTGTTGCCAAAATGTATAAAGTCACTGGCTTTACTAACACCCGATTCTATGTTACTACTTATAGGAAACAGAAAGAGGCTACAGTAGTATCTAACTCTAGCACATCATCTCAAGAACCGGTGGATGATGATGTTACGAGAAATACGTTTTTCGTAGAAGAATCCGAGAAAGAATCTCCTGAGACTATCACGCCAGAAGCAAGTACAACGCTGGCATCACATACAGAATTCCGATTGGACCAATCATTTTATACATCATCAGATAGCGATAACGAAAAAGGAGCTGTTACTGATCATAATCACCTTGAAGTCTTACAATTCATTGACACACCCATTGAAGATATCCCGACTGTTAGCTTTGACACCAATTTTGATATTGTCACCACAAACGAGGTACTAGAGGACATTTTTAATATTAGTCAAGACAGTTCACCGGCACTTATAATATTGCACAGGGACAACTTGTTAGAAGAACTAATCGAGCAATTTACTCCATTATCAAAGCTACAATCAGAAATATATTTATCTAATGGTGAACTAGAAAAAGCTGCGGACATAGGCGTTTTTCGGGATGTTTTGTCAGAATTTTGGGACGAATTCATGAATAAGCTAACGATGGGAACACATGCTAGGATACCTTTTCTGAGACATGATTATGATGGAAGGAAGTGGATGGCTGTAGCTAAAATATTAGCAAAAGGGCTATTGGAGGAAAACTATTTGCCCGTACAATTATCAAAATCCTTCATCGAGTGCTGCATCTTTGGCGAAAACAAATCAAATACCATAGAAGATTTTTCAAAGTATATTTCAACCATGGATTCAGAAATAATTGCAGGTGCGATGCAAAACTTCCACGAAGTGGACTATTCGGAACTTCTTGAATGTCTAGACAGTTTAGACTGCAAATGGCAACCGAAACAAGATAATATTGGGAAGTTGATTAAAGACTTGGCACATAAGGAAATCATTCAGAAACCAATGTTCATAATAAGTCATTGGCGTTTAGTTCTGGGGAATATAATTCCTTTCCAACAATTGGAAGAAATCTATGAGAATCAAAAAAATTTTGCTAAAAACGTTTTGAGAATTCTAGATTTTGATGAGAATATCAAAGAAGATGAGAAGAAAATGGCAGGATATCTTAAGAAATTCATCAGAGAAGGGGATGATAAGCTGTTATCGAACTTCTTAAGATTCACAACTGGAGCAAACATAATTATAGGGAAACGAATCGGAATTTCGTTTGTAGAAACTACAAGTCATTTCAGTAGAACACCTGTAGCTCATACATGCAGTTGTTTTTCAGTTTTCCCCAAGAAATGTATTTAAATTAGCACACCTATGACGGATGTCAGAATATAGCTATGGCTTTTTCACGGTTTTTCAGCTCTGTGTATCAGAACTCTTCTACCATTACCAGTAATCTACAGGGTACATTTAATTTCTCTAACATTAGTGAAGAAGATATAAGAGTAAACCTAAACAAATTAAAACCAAAAAAAGCCACTGGAAGTGATAATATACCAGCATACATCTTTAAGGGTTGCTCTCACATATTTGTAAAACCATTAGCGCACCTTTTTAATCTTTCACTGAAAACAAACACTTTTCCTGAAAAACTTAAAGATTCTTTTATCACTCCAGTACTCAAAAGTGGTGACATTAATAATATACAAAACTATCGTCCGATCAGTATCTTGAATTCCATAGCAAAAATTTTTGAAACCATCTTGTATAATGATATAATGAGGAACTTTGGAAATACATTTGCACATGAACAACATGTTTTTTTGCCAGGATTGTCTACAACTAGTAATTTGTGTGTTCTCACTAATTCAGCCATGGAGGCTATTGATAACAAATTGCAACTAGATGTAATAATGACTGACTGTTCTAAGGCTTTTGATTTGGTCGACCATGGCATTCTATTGATGAAATTGAGTAATCTTGGCTTCTTATATAATGCATGTACATTTATGAAGTCATATGTCGATTTAAGGTTTCAACAAGTCAAAGTTGGTGCTTGTTACTCAGAAAAATTTCATGCTGCCTCAGGTGTTCCTCAGGGCAGCAACTTAGGGCCACTACTTTTTTTAATTTTTATTAACTCATTACCAGACTGTGTCAAATACTCCTCTAGTCTTATTTTTGCAGATGATTTTGAACTTTTCAAAACCATACACACTTTTAATGATTGTCTACAATTACAGGAGGACCTTACTTCAGTTATAAAGGGGTTTAAAGAAAACAAGATGGTCTTAAATGTTGGGAAGTGTGGAGTTATATCATTCACCCGCAAGATTAACTTCATCCAATACAGATATATGATAGGTAATGATGACATAATTAGAAAAACTAAGTGTAGAGACTTGGGAATAAACCTTCAGGCCAGCATGAAATTTAATGACCATTATACCGTTATTGTTAAAAAGGCCTACAAAATACTGGGATTTGTGATTAGAAACTCAAAGCATTTCCGCATAAACACAACAATTCGTCTGTACAATGCTTTGGTCAGACCAAATCTTGAATATGCATCAGTAATATGGGCCCCTGAAGCTGAAAGTAACATCACTTTGATTGAAAGGGTACAAAAAAGATTCTTGAGGTATTTATATTTCAAGAGATATAAAGTGTTTCCTTATCTTATGCCAACTAAAAATCTGATTGAAATTTTCAACTCCCAAACATTACATCAAAGACGAAATATGCATTGTGTCTTGTTCTTGCATAGTGTTGTGAATAATTATAAATATAAAACATGCTACTTAATAAACTTCTTAGAGTTTCATGTACCAAAGATTAACCTCAGAATGAACAATTGTGATCTCTTTTCTTGTAGTCCTTTTAATAGTTCTCCAATAAATTATATGCAAAATCAGTGCAATATTCTATCAAGGGACTTTAACTTAGATTTGTTGAACTGTACAGTTCTGGATATTAAAAAGTGTTTTAGGTAGATTTGTATGGACAGGTTTTAGTCATTTAAGGTTTACTGGTAGTGTTTTTGTGTTTTTTTTTGTGTCAGGCTAGTGATAAGCACTCACTTACATTTAAATACTGTTTAGATGGTGTCTGTAAGTTGAATCTATAAATGAAATAAAAATAAATAAATATAATTATGAATCCTATCCAGATTTCAGAAACGAGTTTCAAAGTATCCTGAACTCGAATGTTTGGGTAATGGATATCGTTTGATGATAATACGTTGTCAAAATCTTTTATTTTAAAGATAATGTTCATTTTTGTTGAACATCTATTGTTTTCTTATGAAAAACGTGAGACATTACTTCAAAATATTATTTCTATGCATGTTCAGAACATGAAATATACAAGCTGTTCGGTTATTCATATCCTTTATTTCAATCAGATAGTGTAAACATAAGTCCACCATAATTTTTTTTCTAGAATCGACCATTTAGAAATAAATATAACGTAACACGTTTGTTCAATCATAACAGTTGAAGCAGAAAGAAAAAATTAGCTTCTTATGACGATGTGGTAGTGAATGCAGAAGATTCAGGATTCGAGAATTGGTAATTTTGAAGTATAGATATCTTCAACCGATTGAGCTGAAATTTTTATACACGTTTAGTTCGAATGACAATAATGCACGATAAGGTGTGGGACATTATTCTGAATCCAATAAGGCGGACCATCCAAGATAAATCTTGCAATTAGCTGCCAGATAAATCTGTCAATTAGCTCAAATGCACACAGAGAAAAGAGTTTAATAATGGTTATTAAACATTTAATAGCCGCAGTTGGGAACTTGAATACTCTTTGAGACAGATATACAGTGTGATAGTGGTAGATGAAATCATTTTTCTGGATTGGTATACCTGCTACAGACACTCAATTATTTATTTCATTGATCGTTAATGAATAAATATATTTTCAATCAACTCACGATTATTAAAGTGTTGAATAACATTGATTATACAGTTTAATTACCATTAAACATTAAATAATTCCCTTTGAAACATTGCTGTATTATCTCAGAGTCTCCTTCACCTATTGTAGGTTCATAGTTCGATGATAGCTATTCAACAGTTTGATAAATTTTCAATACATATAGTTGCCACAGGCTAAAAAGCATGCTGTTGCAGAAAAATAGGTGATATTCTCTGAAATATATCTAACTGATGTTGGGTAGTTCCTTTAATTACTACCACTAAAGAATACAATTATACCAGAAACATTATTCAATTGTCCTGGGAACATAAATTACTCGTCTCCGGAACATAATTTAATTATCCCAGATGTGCAATTTGATTATCTCAGATGTGCAATTTAATTGAAATATTGAGGGAGTGCGTACCTGAAAAAGGGGTCCAGAAACGACCATTCTGATTACTGGTTTTTAATGGCATGGATATAAGAACATTTGAAGATAGTGCTTATGAGTATCAAGTGCCCCCGTAAAAAATATAAAAAAATCAGGATTCAGAATGATCGTTTCTGGTCCACTTTTTTCGATGCTGCATACCCACACATTTATTCCTGCAAAACAAATAACAATACATGCACAAAATAAAATCATCGTTTTTGACTAACGATTCGTCATTTCCCAACATTAGAGGGTATGTACTTGCGTAATTCTTCGATATCTCGAAAGCCATAACCAATAGAGAAAAACTCTGGGAAAAAATCTTTTTCAGTTACTGAAGTTCCTCATTTCAAAAATATTTCCAACATTACTGGGTGTTTTATAAAAGCAGGGCAACTGGAAGAAGAGTTTTTTTAAATGGAACACCCAGTATTGTTTAATCGGAATGAATTCCGTCGAGGTTCACCTTCACATCGCTGCAAAAAAAAATTGAAATCGGTTACGGCGTTGCCAAGTTATAATGGATAAATCTATTTTCACCATTTTCGAAGAGTCATGTTGAATTGGGAATGGTATATTCATTTGTTCAAATTTTGAAAATATTTTTGGCATGCGGCAAAAGCAAGGTCCCACGTGAACCAATCCAGTAATTTTGCGACATGTTCTTCAACAGGGTGCTCAATTTTGCATTTGAAATTTTGCAAGATTCAGATGACATTCATCAGACTTTTTCAAATGGAACACCCTGTATTTCAATTCAAAAATTCATTCCGACATCTTTCGCCTTTTTATCGCTGAATAAAAAATCAAAATCGATTGCGGCGTTGTCAAGTTATGGATAATTTCGTTATTTTTACTACTATTTCGGGGTAATTTGTACGTCATAGTTCTTTCATTCATTTGTATTGTGGAAATATTGCGTTGCTAAGGTATTATCAAATTTTTTCATTGACCATTCATATATTTTTTCACAAAAGGAACATTAACAGGCTGTCCAAGTTTGCATTTTTTTCGAATTACACTTATATTTGTGTAATGACTTGTCAAACATCGCCACAATCAAATATATCTTGGATTGATTCGAAGTTTTGCTGAATTCCCTCCCAGAAGCCGCGTATAGTAGAGACATAATATTGTTTGTATCATTATGTTTACCTCCTTCAAGTAGAATGGAGATTTGGATTGTGGGAATAACGACAATAAAAATGGCCCAGATTTCAAAAAATTATCCTAATTTTCGCAATCCGCATCTTCATTGTTTGTATTGTAGAAGTTGTTTCAAAGACAGGCTTTGGTTTTGGCATGTTTGTTTGTTTCACATAATATTTAAATCATAAGTAACAAGATAACGGAATATTTCAAATTTGGACGATGCACATATCGCAAAAATACCTGAATGATCTATGTAGAACTTCGAATGTTATGTGGCAAGCAATATTCCCACACTCAAATCAAATAAAGGAACCATCATGACGTACAAATTACCCCGAAATAGTAGTAAAAATACGGAAATTACTCATAACTTGAAAACGCCGCAACCGATTTTGATTTTTTGTTCAGCGATGAAAAGGCGAATGATGTCGAAATAAATCTGTGATGAAAAATACAGGGTGTTCCATTTGAAAAATTCTTATGATCGTCGTCTGAATCTTACAATATTCAGAATGTAAATTTCAGCACCCTGTAAAGGATTATCTCGCAAGAAAACTGGATTGGTATACGTGAGACCTTGCTACTACTGTATGCCAAAAATATTCTCGAAATTTCAATAAATAAATATACCATACCCAATTGAAAATGACCCTTCAATAGTAGTAAAATTGGGCTTATCAATTATAACTTGGC